TAAATTACCCAGATCACAGGCAGTTGGTTTTCAGACAGTGTACACATGGGCCACTCAGCACATTGTTTTATCATCTTTGGTCAAAAAAACCCGATGCATGACATGGTTCTAAGACTTGCTGGCTCTTCCAATTTTCCATTTCCAGTTGTTCTCCAATTGAGTTTTAAATTTTACTTTTCACATTTTTCACTTCTGGAAGTTCTATTGGTTCTTTTTCAAGTCTGGTTTATTACCTTTATTGTTTCATGTTCCCTGCAAATGTTCTTGACTTTGTAATTTTTTCTTTAAACATGAAAAGTATAGTTGTTTTAAATCAATGACTGATTATTTCAATATATGACGTCTGGGCAAGTCTGTGGTTGCTGATTCTTGCTCATATTGTCTTGCTTCCTTGTGTGTCTGGTTGTCTATGATTGTGTCCTGCTCAATGCCTGTGACACATTATTTATAAAAGCTCCTTGAGGCCTAAGATGGATGTGCCCTCATCCAGGGAGGTTTTGAATTGTCCTGCCAGGCACCAGAGGACACTACAAAATTCCTGATATCCATCTCATTTCAATCTAAATGAACCACAACTCCTCACCCAGGACAAAAGTCAGAGACACAAGACTCCTCTCTTTTCCTCATCCCTACTTTAAACCCATTAACAAATCATTCTAGTTCTGTCTCCATAATATTCCAGACCCAGCCACCTACCTCCATGTGTGTCTGGTGAAAACTCTCACCCCATTTTGCCTGGATCTCTGCAGAAGCCTGACTGGTCTCTCTGCTTCCACTCCTGCCTCCTCTGATCCATTCTCCACACAAGTGTCAGAGGGCTGGCTTAGACACGCAAATCCCAGCATGTCATTCCCCTGCTTAAATCTCCCCAATGGATTCCTATTACACATGAAATAAAATCTAAGTTTCTTATCATGGTCAAAAGGCCCTAAAATAATCTTTTTCCTTCTCTCCAACCACTCTTCTTCTTGCTGGCCTTGATCCAGCCATACTGATTTTCTCGCTATTCCTTAAACAGGTTAAATCCTCCCCCCATCTAAATAGGTCCACTCTCGCCTTCCTTTGGCCCAGAACATTCTTATTCCTGTCTCTCATCTTTTAGGTCTGAGCGCAATGTCACCTCCTTAGAAAGGACTTTCTCTCTTCCCACTCTAAAGCAGACCTGTGGTTCTCTATCACAGCGCCTGGCTCTTTTCCTTATTGTACACACTGTATGCTCCTTATTTTTTTTTTTTAAAGATTTTATTTTTTTCCTTTTTCTCCCCAAAGCCCCCCAGTACATAGCTGTATACTCTCCGTTGTGGGTCCCCCCAGTTGTGACATGTGGGACGCTGCCCCAGTGCGGTTCGATGAGCAGTGCCATGTCCGCGCCCAGGATCCGAACCAATGAAACACTGGGCCGCCTGCAGCAGAGCGCGCGAACTTAACCACTCGGCCATGGGGCCAGCCCCACTGTATGCTCCTTTTTGACTGTTTGTTTCCTCTTTGTTATGTCTCCCCACAACTACAATGTGAGCTCTGTGTGCCCAGGGACCTTGTCTGTCTTGTTCACTGCTGCAGCCCCAGCACCCAGAACGGTTTCTGGCACGGTAGATATTGTGAATATTCATCACATGAACAATGAGGCTGCGGGGCCAGCACTTGAGCTCAGTCTTTATGACCCCAAAACTTGAGCCCTTTCTCCTACATTCTGCTCCAAGGGCAGAGTCTGGTATTGGTGGACAGGGAACTGGCTGTGAGTCAGACCTGGCTTTGCAGCGACTCTGGCAGTGCCATTGGGCAAGTCCTTCCCTTCCGCCAATCTCAGTTTAACCATCTGTTCTAAGCCCCCTCTGAGCTACAGGGACCTTGCCCGAGAGGAACAGAAGCAAATACTTCTTTGTCCAGCAGGTGGAGCCATTGGCCCTTCTCATTTTTTCTCTCTGCTGGACTTGGCTGCCGGCATCTCTGGTTCTGACTGTCAGGGTCTCTTCTCATCAAAACGCACACGCTCTGCTATCACCTACCACCACCACCAAACACAAGTGAGGTGTTTATTTTTTCTCACATATTTTTTATTTTAATTTTTGGTGAGGAAGATTGACCCTGAGCTAACACCTGTTGCCAATCTTCCTTTTTTTACTCTAGGAAGAGTGGCCTGAGCTAACATCCATCCCAGTCTTCCTCTATTTTGTTTGCGGGTCACCACCACAACATGGCTTGACGAGTGGTGTATGTCCTCGCCCGGGATCCAAACCTGCAAACCCAGGCCGCCGAAGTGGAGCGTGCCACTTTAACCACTACGCCACCAGGCTAGCCCTGCATGTTTTTTATTTTTTTAATTTTAATTTATTTAGTTTTGCTTTTTACAGGAACTTTCTATTTCAGAATAGATTTAGATTTACAGAAACTTTATGAAAATAGTACAGAGAGTTCCCATATACTCCGTACCTATTATTTCCTCTATTATTTGCATCTTATACTTAGATGGTACATTTGTCACAGTTAATCAGCCAATGTTGATACACTAGTATTAACTAAAACCCATACTTTGTTCAGATTTCCTTAGTTTTTAATCTACGTCCTTATTCTGTTCCAGGATCCTATCTAGAATACCGTATTTCATTATCATGTTTCCTGGGGCTCCTCCTGGCTGTTACAGCTTCCCAGAGTTCCCCTGTTTTTGATGACCACCAGTGATGTTTTTGGATGGGACTCTAATATCTGTCTTGAGCTTTTGGTCACTTAAGAGTCAAAGCTGAGAGTTACAACCCTTTGCTCTCTGGGGAACTCAGGAACAAATTTTTGCGCTAGAAATTGGTGACTTTCTGCTCAAATCCTTGGGCTGATCTTTAGAAATGGTCCTCTCAACAAAATATTTCTAGTGTGCCTGCTATGTGCCTGACCCTGTGCTCGGTGCCAGTGAGGGAGTGGAGCTAAGACAGGGTCCTCGTGGGGCTTACAATCCAGTTCTTTTGTCCAGGTTGGAGAGTGGATGCCCAGGAAGGTGGAGCACAAGACTTCACCTTTCTGTTTCACCCAAGGATCCGTCCAAGGTGGAAAAGGGGTGACAGTTCCCTGGAATGTCTTCCTTCCCGTGGGACCTTCTGAAGGGCATGGCCCCAGAGCTAGAGGGTTTGGAATGTGAGGAGCTTTAGGGGAGTCCTCGGCATTGTGCTCTCAGCTCCTGGAACCCAGCCTCCATATTTCATTGTGGGAAAGATCTGGCTTGGTGTTTCTTTCCTCTCCTTGAGAAAGAAACTTCCTCTAAGCCTCTGCAATCGCCATTGCCTTCTAATTCACCATAATAACTTAAGTCTGCTCTGTTCTCCTCAGCTTATAAAGAGACCCTGTCAAGTCCTAGCAGCATCTTTTGGAGGTAAGTGTCATTTTTTTTTCAACTTCATTTTACCTGTGAGGAAACTGAGGCTCAGGGACCACTCAGCAAACAGTTGATGGAGGTGGCATTTGAATCCAGGTCTTTCTGTCTCCTAATTTTCAATATTTCCCCAACCATACCCTGCAGCTGTTGGGTCCAAAGCTTGGAGGAAAACAGTATTTTTGGAACTTTTTGTCTGGACCAACTAGGTTATATTCTGCTCAGAAGTTGGGAGTCTGCTCTAGCAATTTGGACCTGGAGGGGAAGTGGCCCCTCCTCCAGCCCAAATCTACCCCTCTCAGGTAATCTGAGATGAGACCATTTGAGATGGTGGTCTGCTGGCTTTGGGGGCAGAGGAGACAGCCCAGGGCTTGGATGGAGATGATGTGGGCATGTTGCCCACCTGTGCCTCTCACCAACTGTGGGGCAAATCGCTCTTTACCTGTGATCCTGTTTCTTCATCAGTGAAATGGTACTAATATGACTGTCCAGAGGCTTTACTGCAGTGAATAAAGGATACGAAACTGTTTGTCATCTGAAAGCCCCATGCAAGGATAACAGGGGTGGTTATCATTTCCAATGAGAAGATCCAAGACCCCAAAGGGAAGCTGCTTTCCTGCAGAACCAGGCTGAAGAGAGAAACTCATGTCCTGAAACTTCAAACCCCTGTCCAGGAAAATGCCAAGCAGAATCCCCAGCTCACTCCCAGCCCCTTCTTCTCCCTCCCACATTGTGAGCACCGCAAGCTTGGAGCAGGGAGCCGACTCCGATACCCTCCAGTATGGGACACCAAAGCCTCTTGAAGGCGAGATGTAGTATCTGTTTCAGCTCCACACTCTCTGTCTTCTAGCACAGCGTGGGCTGCACACTGTACTCCCAGATGTTGAGTGAACACGTGAATGAGTGCATGAGTGAATGAAGAAATTCCAGGGCTGTCAGCAGGTCCAGACTTTACCTCCTGTCTGGGCCTCCCCCCCTTCTCGTCCCCACCCTTCCCTTTTCACGGTAGTGCATGACACCAGGGGTACCAAAAAGGCAAACTGGACTTTATTATAAAGTTGGCTACAAAGTCACCACAGCACCACGAGGTGGCCGCCTGGGCAGGCCCAGGCAGTCTGGTGGCCGGGTGAGTCCCGCACCAGGTACACGCACTCGTGCAAGCACACGTGTGACGGCGGCAGGTCTGCCTTCCTCCATCGGAAAGGAACGTAGCGTCTCTTCGCGCCCCCCACTCCAGGCGCGGGGCGCAAAAGTCACAAGAAGGGCTGCCAGGGTGGCAGAGTCCATCGGAATTGAAATCCCGTTACTGGTGTGTAGAGAATTCTACGTGGGTGTCAAGAGCCCCTCAGGGCACAGGCTGGCCCAGGTGGGCGCTGCCTTTCCCCCACCAAGGCCCAGGGGTGGCTTGGCCCCCAGGGGTGGAGAACTGGCCCAGGCCCATGGGGCAGCGCGGGGAGGGGGAAGTGAGACTCCCCCATTCTCCGCTTGAAATCCCATTCAAGGAAACTCACTACGAGTGAATACAGATTGAAATGGAAACTGGGATCGCTCGAAGTCTCTAAATTTTAAAAAGAAGTTCCCCTCCCTTGCCCTCCCACCTCCCCCCCCCCCCAATTCCTACAGGGCCTGGGGAATCAGATATATCCCCCTCTGGCCCCCAGAATCCCCCCAACAGTCCCGGGGGGGTGGAGAGCGGCTCCACGTCTTGATGACAATATGCCATACTTGACGACGTTAAGTCACAGACTTATTCAAAACGTTGGTTCCCCTCCACTTCCATCTGCAGAGAGAGAGAGAGAGAGGAAGGGGGGACAGTCAGTAAGGCCTATTAGGAAAGAGGGTCCCCGAGCTGAGGCTGTGGTGCACTGTTGGCACCTAGTATGGGCCTCATACATGTTGGCCCAATGACTGAATAATCACAGAGGCTCAGCAGATAAGGGAGCAATTTGGACGGATGGAGTGAAACTATGGCTGTAGTTTTGGAAATGATGGACCCATAAGCAGAAAGCCTCTGTTGGGGCCAGGGGCTGCGTCCTACTCTCTTTCTTTCCTGGACTCCTATTAAACTCTTGCTCTGTCTTCCCTTTAGGGGACAATAATACTGAGATAGAGCTCTATCTAAGAGATAGATCCCTCTTCCATCAATTTTTTGTGTGACTTTGGGCAAATTTCTTTAATTCTGGGACCTTGATTGTCTTCATCTGTAAAATGAGGTGGTGATCACTGATCTAGGTCCCTCACAGAGTTAAGAAGCACAAACTATGACCTGAGGATTCTCTGGCACTTTATCCCACAGCCCACACCCTTGCCCTCCAGACCTACTTGTCCAGAATTTGCATATTAAGACTTTCATTAGTTCTTATCCCCACTCTACCCCCGGCAGCAGGTGATTTCATCCCATTAATAAAATTGAGGTCCAGAAGGGGAATTTACTCATCTAATTCCACCCAACATCTTATTGGCAGGCCAGGGACTTGAGTTCTTAGACATTTTGGCTGGACTCACCATCATGGAAGCTGTCTTGAACTTGGCTCTGGAGTTGATACAACTCATCAGGAAACCCATCGTAGGGGAATGCTGAGACACCTGTCTCAAAGGCGGTTTCATATGTGGCCAGGTCCTCCAGGAAGCTATGGTCTTCTGGGGACAGGTTGTTGCAAGGCGATGGGGCCCCTCCTGGGACCGCTGCCTCAGGATCCCCTGAACTCCATTCCCCACTGGGGTCTGGAGTAGAGAGATCCATGAAGATGTCTTCCACGGGCGTCTCTTCCAGGAATATAGTATCAGGGTCAGCCAGGAAATCCAGCTCCTGGCATTTCCAGGGTTTCAGGTCCAGGCTGAGCACAGGGGGACCAGCCCCCGACAGGGACAGGTTGGAGTCCAGGGGCTCCAGCCCCCCAAGCGGCTCCAGCCCACCCGTGCTGGCCTCAGCTGAGAAGGGCCTGTCCATGCCCTGAGCCAACTGGCTGATCTGCTGGATGAGACGATCTATCTCATTCTGCTCCTTCTCAGAGTAGTGAAAGAAACTCTGCTTGACTGGAGAGGCCTCAGGTGTAAGTAGGCCTTCGGGCATCAGGGGGACGTCCACAGAGAGGGGGCCCCGGAGCTGGGCTAGGGCCAGGAGTGTGCAGTCCCCATTACCAGGGCTGCTAGGACTTGGGGGCAACTTCTCATAGAGAAAACTGCATCCCTCCTGGGCGAAGTAAGTCTTGGTGTGACTGGGGCTCAGTTGCTCTGGGAAAGTTTGGCTGGGGCTGTTCAGATGTGCTTGGAATGCCGTGCTAGGAGGAGTCAGCTGCTCCTGGGCAGGGCTGCCCAGAGGCTCTGGGAAGGTGGCAGTGCTGGGAAGCAGCTGATCTGGGAAGGTGGAGGTGCAGGGATTCAACTGATCTTCATAGCTTCTGGTTGAAGTTTCAGTCAGCTGGCCTTGTAGTGGACTAGTCAGTGGATCTGGGAAGGTTGCACTGCTGGGTGTCAATTGATCAGAGAAGGTTGCGGTGCTTGGAGTCATCTGTTCTTGGAGAGAGCTGGATGGAGTGGGCAAGTGGGTCTGGAAGGGCTCATGGAGGCTGAAGAGGAAGGCACAGCCTCCCGGCTGGTGGGGCGTGTAGGGTGGGGTGCACACAAGATCCTTGCTCAGGTCTGCTTGAAGAGAAGGCTCAGGGCCAGATGAGAACGTCATGTAACTGAAGCCCAGCTCTTTGGGGGGTCGAGGAAGCTCTTCTGATGTTGAGACAGCACCCAGCTCAGGAGCACTGGGGAAACTGGTGCTTCTGGGAGCCCCCAGGGCAGGGTTGAAGAGTGGGTTAGAGCTGGAGCACTGCTCCTGGGAGAGGATGTTCTCAGGGAATGAGGGCAGCACGGCTGGGGTGCCGAGGATATATGCTGCCTGGGTGTCTTCAGAGTTCAGCTGCTGGCGGAGGCTCCAGGCTTCCGTGTCACTGGAGAGGAGAGAAGAGGCAGCCGGTAAGGGTTTGGTGTCCATTCTCAGAGCAGTTCCCTGATTTGTGTCTCTTCCATGTCCAGCTCAGCTGCCCCCCAGGCCCCTGCCTTGCAGCTCACCTGATTGGGTAGTTATTGGCAGTAATGGGGCTCTCTGGACCTTCTGAGTATAACAGGCAATAAATCCATGCCCAGCCTCCAGGCTTGGCCTGCAGTCTCACCACCATCTCTGCCTGAATATCTCCACTCTCAGCCACTGAATGGAAAGAAGAGATGCAGAGTTAGTATGCCCATCGGTCAACACCACCTAAACTCCCCCTTTACTGACCTCTCCACTGAATTAGGGTATCAATGGCATCCTCTTTTCTGACTACCCTAACCTGCCACACAGTTCCCCACCTTGACCTCACCAGTTGCAGTCCCCAAGTTCTGATTCTATTCTCTCCTTGACTCCTCACCCTAAAGTTCACCCTATAGCATCCAAAACTGTTGGCCTCTGGTAGCTCCCCAGCATCAGCCTTTGCCATAGACCTTCTTGGTTGGGTCTCCCATGCCCTTTCCCAGTTCCCTGTCTTGTCCCCAGCTTCTCTGGACACTCACACAGGCGGTAGTGTTGAGCAGAAGCGTGGCCCAGGTCCTCAGGGTGCAGCAGTCCATACCATGATTTACAGAGCAGTTCACTGCGCTCAAAGCCCAGGTAGATTAGGACACTGGGAAGGTGGAAAGGGTGAGGTCAGCTTTCTGTTTTCCTTGCTTGATACCCAGGCATCTCACTCCCTCCCAGGTCCTCTGCCCCCTTTGAATCCATCCTCCCTTCCCCTGACTCCAGAATCTAGGGTCCCTCATCTCTGGCCTGCTTTCCTCCTGAGGTCTGAACACTCTGGGCTTACCTCTCAGAGATGTCCAGTAGGGCCAAGTCTTTAGCATGACGGCTCTGAAACATGGCCAGGAAAAGTGAGGCAGGGCCAAGGCCAGGGCCAGGGCCAGGGCGTGGTCTTGGCTCCAGTGGGGCACAGAAAGCTGTGAACACAGGGTTTCCTGCCCAGTAGGCCCCAGGTGGGTGAGCGTGGAATCGGCCTCGAATAAGCACCAGTTTGTTGCCTGCGCTCTGGCGCCTGAGGGACTTGGAAGTGTTGAAGCGACAGCGGAAGAGGCGATCTAGGTGAATGAAGAGAAAAACTGGTAAGAGGCTGGATGGCTGAGAGAAATGACAAATGGGGAGGAGCAGTGGAGCAGGAGTGAGATTAGACTGAGGAAGGGAGTTCTTACCGCTGTCCAGGGCAGAGGGAAGAGTGAGTTGCTGGCGCACAGTTAGGTGGTCAGCTGGGTCAATGATGTCATAGATACTGTCACCCTGGGCAACGAGGTCCACCTGGAGAAAGATAAGGAAGAGATGACCATTAGCGAAGACAGCAAGAGGCAACCCTTGGCACATAGCACCTTGCAGAGTGTAACCCCTCCCTCCCCAGGAATTCTAAGAAGTGTAGAGTTCATCATGTCCCATCTGTGCCCCAGCCCAAGCTGAGAAGACCCTCAGCACTCACCATGGAGTGGCCCAGATGCTCGCTCACACTCTCAGACAGATATAGCAGCTTCCCCTCAGCTGTGAACACAAGCAGAAAGCCAGGTAGTGCTGCCACTATGTCTTCAAGCTCTTGAGCTGAGAGAAGCCCTGTAGGGCCCGCCAGAGGAGTGCCTGCAGGGTGAGAAGATATGATAAGTCAGGAGTAAGACTGGGAGGCAAAGTAGAAGTGAGGAAAGCATGGACTGAGTTTCAGAAAATCCAGAGGAATTTCTCATGAACCTGCCTCAGACACCTGTTGACCCGGTGCCCGCAGCTCTTGCCCGGGGAACCTGTTGCTGAATTTCCCCAGCCCTTGAGCCCTTCGACTTCTAAGTGGGGTCAAGGGAGTTCTGCGGCCCTGAATTTCAGGACCACGGACAGCGTTCCAAAGTCTATCGGGCGTTCAGCACCGCGGGCAGCGCTGCGCAGTCGGTGGTGCTGTCAGCACCGCGGACAGCGCCTCAAAGGCTGCAAATGCGCCCTTTCCTTCACCACCGTGAACAGCGGCTACGCTTCCCCGGGCTTCGGCGGCTCCATCCCTGCAACTTCCCGGGCTTCCCTCCCTGGGCTCCCGGAGCGCCTCTGCGCTGGTGGATATGGGGCCATTCTGTCCTGGCTCTCCTCCTCCAGTGAAGTCTGGCACCAGGGACGCTATCCAGGCTCTCTAACCTTCATCCGGAGCTCAAGAGGAAAAGTACTAAATCCTGAGTTCCCCAAGTCCCTTCTCTCCCCAGCTCGCCAACACGCTGCTCTAGACATGCAGTAGTCCCAGTGGGTCCCCTCAGCTCCACTATCCCCAGTGCCGGCCAGCTCGGGTCTCCAGCAGCCCCAGTTTGCTCACCTCCAGCGAAGAAGACGCCCTTGCGAGTGTAGATGCAGGCAAGACTCATAATGTGCAGGTAGGACAGCCGGACCTTGTCCGCTTCGGCCAGCGGCAGCAGCTCCTTGAGGTTCCGGATCTCAGCGTTGATCTGGTCGCGGCGCGCCTTGGAGGCGCCCTTGGTGGAGCGGTACATGACTAGCGGCTTCGGAGCTCCAGCTCGGGCGCTCCGAACACCTGCGTTCCTGTCCCGACGCACCGGTGGCTTCCTCCTCCTTGCTTCCCCGTCTCTTGCTCAGGCTCTCTCTCAATCTCTCTCCTCTCCTGGGCTCCGCTCGGCTGCGCTGCCCCCCTCGCCTGCCTCGTTCCGCCTTATATAGCTCCTGCCAGGCGTGGGGGGCTCGCTTTGGAGAAAGGGGGGGGCGGGAAAGCGGGAGGCTGGGCTAAGCAAGCTGCAACGGGAGCCACTGGCTGGGGAGGGGGGGTGCTCCTCCTCCCTCCCTGGTTTCCGACGTCATCCCATGACGTAGAACGAGAGCGGGAGGGGGGCCGGAGGGAGGGGGGAGCAAGGAGGCTGCGGAGGGGCCCTCCGCTGGCAGCAGCTGAGCGAGAGGCAGGCGCCGCGTTAGGAAGGCCTGAAAGGGGGTTCAGGGACCTAGGCGTCCGAATGTGTTCAGCCGAGGGAAGCGACAGGGCAAGGGTTGAGGCGGTCTGAAGTCCCTGGTGGAAGAGTCTGTAGATGGCAGGGAGGGACTGGTTCCAACATCCATTTTTCTAAGGAGATAAGGGAATGGGGAGGGGCAGGGTCCTCCACAAATTACTCTTCGCTATTTGCCAGACAAAGGTCACCGTTCACATGGTGGGGAAGAGAAGAATGACTTTCCTTGGCCCCCGTGGGATAGGTCACAGCTGGGGTTTCTCCCTAGGGATTACTCAGTCTGGGATTCCCTTAGTCACTTTCAAAGAACAAATCTCTTCCCCCCTTTCCAAACCTGGGCCCTGGCGATTTAGCGGGGGGAGTTAGCTGGGGGTCCAAGTCCCTAGGATGGGGCAGAAAGGAGGTCCTGAGGGAGAGGGACCAGCTGAATTTGGCCTTGGTTCTATTTTCCCACAGCCAGGAATAGGAACACCAACACCTACGCTGTAGCCTGCAGTGACTCTTTGTTTCCCTGTCAGCTAATTAACCTCAGCCACTGACCGGAGAAAGTGAGGCAGGGTCCTAGGGCATGGTGAGGATCTGGGTCTGCACCTCGGTATCCCTCCCCCACCCTAGTTGCCGGTCCCTAAAGCGAGCGGTTCCCCCCTCTTCCCCCGCGCCGCCCCACTGCAAGCCTCGGTCTCCCCGCGGGCCGGGGGCGGGGGCGGGGCCTGGGGAATCCCAGCTCCATATTAGGACAGGAATCCTCCGGCGGCAGCCGCGGTGGCAGCGGGCGGGGCCGGGCTGCCTCCGCAACACTCCGGAGGGCTCCCCCCGCCTCCAGCAGGGAAAATGAGGAAGCGGCAGAGAAGCGAGGGGGCCATGCTGGACCTTCCGAGATCCCTGCACCTGGCAGGGACGCCTTAACTCCATCAAGCTGTCCTCCAGCAACCCCTCTAAACCCCTTCCCATCTCTGGGCTAGGACTCCTCTCCCTGTCTCTCCACATTCAACTCTTCATGCACACACACACACCCAACTAGTTTCTTTATCTTATTGCCTGCTTGATGGTCTGTCTCAGCTTTGTGCTCCTTCTACCCCCCCCCCCCAAACATTCCCCTTCTGCTCTCTCAAATCTCTCTTCCTTTATTTGTCAGTTTTGTCTCCACATCATGTCGCCTTTGCCCTGGCTCTCTCTCTCTCTCTCTTTTTTTTTTCTTTTCAGCACAAATGATTGCCGTCTACAGGGGCTGAGACGTGCCTTTCTTTCCCCCAGGATCCCATAAAAGGAGAAGGAAATGGGCTAGGGGACATTTTATGTGAAATCTCATTTGGTGGAGTAGGGGTCTGTGTGAAATCACTAGAGGGGTTGGAAATGTGGCCACTTAAAAAATTGGGGGAGAAGGATTGACCTGATTGTAGAAAGTCACATAGGAAGGATGGAGATAAAATTTGACACCAAGAAGCAAAAAGAGGGGGCCTGGCAGCTCGATCCTGGTCTCTTGTGCCATTTTGGGTTATTTTGATTGGGGTCATCCCCATCAACCATCCTGTATTAATGAGGAATGAGGGAGATGGAGGGAACGGGTGTGTGTGTGTGTGCATGCGTGTGCCATTATCTCTAACCATATTTACCTGGATGACAGAAAAATTGTTTCTCCAGGAAGCACGTCCCTGTTCCACTTTCATCTCTATCTGATCCCTGATGTACCCACCCACCCTCCTTCAAGCTTCTATTTGGACAAGCCCTTGATCTTTGCACCCCCTTGTTGTATGAAAATCCAGGACAGTGTTCTTTTTTTATTCACCCACTGGTCCTTTAGCCCTGGCTGGGAGACATTATTAGCGTCCTTCTCCATGAGAAGATGTGTCTATGGGTTGGGTCCAGCTGAACTCCAGCAAGCCGAGCAGATCCACAGTGAAAGAATGTGTCGCTGACTGCTGTCCATGGTTCTGAAATAATCTCCAGGAAAGTTGTGTTGGCCATGGTCTGCCTGGGACATCAAAGCAGAGGTTGAGTCCACACAGACCTCAGAGTGAGGCCTCAGTTGATTCTTCCCTTCTTTTCTGAGTATTAATATGGGCAGAGGTTTCAGGGGGCCAAGATTTCTGAGCTCTAGGAGTGAAGGAAGCCGGGGGAAGAGCCCTTGGATTTTTCCAGGAGAATGGACTGAAGGGAAGGCACTCTGGAAGGGAAGAAAGGTCTAGAAAGGGACAAGGGAGGGGGTAGAGAAGAGCTCATCCCAGTTCGCCCACTTTCATTCAAGTTGAGAAGCTCTGTATGCCCCAATGTCTCCTCTCCCTAGGCCAACTCCCACTCCTCTTGCCTCCCACCTCCGTGAAGCTATTTTTAACTGTGCAGAACCGAAAATAGCTTGGCAACAGCTTCAGGCCGTGGGAGAGGAACTATTTATATCACCAGTGATGGTTCCAAAATAGCAAGCAGGAGGAGGGGGGCGGCTGGCACGCTAGAGAGCTCCAGGCCGCTGCTAAAAATACTGGCAGTATGAGTCATCCTGGCCTGGCTGAGTCACCCCACTCTCCCCCCCTAAGCAGCAAGCAGCAGCAGAACAGGCTAAGAATTGGAAGCCTGAGATGGGGGAGGTATCAGAGCCCATCGACTACAGGAAAGTGGACAAGGGAGTGACTAGAGAGGGGGGCTTTGGGGTGAGTATGTAGAAGGAATAGGGGGAGGAGGAGCCACCCAGTCAAATCCACTGAATGAGCCTGCAGTATTTCCAGCTATGCACTGCTGTTTGAGTATGCTTAGGCAACTGAAGGAAGGGAGCCAGACTGAGGATGTGCATGTGTGTGTGTCTGTCCATTTGACGATGACTGTACTTGTATGTTTCTGTGTGTCTAGCTACGTGTGTCTTTGTAGCTGTTTGTCTGTATCCCAGTATATCTATGCATTCACCTATGCCTGCATCTATACCTGTCTTTACAAAAAATGTCTATGCTTTCTGCATTGTGTGTAGTTCTATGTTCATGCCTGTCTGTATTTATATGTTTGCAGCTTTCTGGGTGCCTCCCTGTCCATGTGTGTTCATGTCCACATCTGAGCCTGCTCTGTGCCTTTCTCTCTCAGCATATGACAGTGTACGTGGATTTACATGCATCCCCAGCCTCAATGCACCTTCTGTTGCCCTCTCTGATGTCACTTGTTGGGTTCTTGCACCACCCATCCAATATTCACCTCTCTCCACCCAGCATCTTCCCTTCTTTCCAGCCCTTTGCCCCCAACCATTTGTTAAGGCCTCTGTTGCATGCAATCTCTAGTAAAAAGATGGAGGACGGGAGCCCCGTATGACCTCTCTGTTTTCTCTTGAACCATCCTGAATCTTCCCTGGCCTGCAGGAGTAAGTGGTTTCTCATAGCTCCATATTTGGGGAGTTGAGGGAAGAGAAGGGCTTTCTTTAGTTCTAAAAAAAAAATTCCTGGTGTGGGCACAGGCATGCGCAGTGCACACACACATATATACACACACAACTGAGAGAGAGAATGAGAGAGAGAAAAAAATATCAAGGTCCCTTCTTTACTGAGACGAGCTCGCATCTGTTGCCATGGCAACCCGCCCACTCCTTCCCCGAAAAATCACCAAGAAGAGGTGATGGCATCGAGGAGGGATTGGCTGATTTCTTTCTTTATTATTTTTTCCGAAAAAGGGCTTTTTATAGCAAGAACAGGCCGTAAGATCTCTTGCCCCTGTCTGCATAGCTTTATTAGGGACCCGGAGGGACATCACCCATCAACCTCTATCAGAGAAAAAGAGGTGTATCTTTTCCAGAGATTTCGGAGAGGATAACTTCCTGGGAGGGAGCTGGAGTGTGAATGGGGAGTCTGTTTCTTTAGAACAGCATGGAGACTCCCGGTTAGGGCTGTTTTCCGGAGACTTGGGGCAAAGATCTTGACAGAGGACTGTCAAAGTGTATCCTGCCTTGGGCTGGACAAATGTGTCTATGAGAAGGAGAAAGAGGGAGGAAAAGGAGAGAGAGAGAATGCATGTCACTTGATGGGTCTTCAGAGGAGATGATGAGATGCCAAAGGATGCAAGCTCTCAGTGGTGGTCAGACCAGACAGGTGGACAAATGGCTCAAGAAAGATCCATTAATGCAATGGTAGTGCTATGAGTCACCACCAGATCACAGGTGTGGCTACTTGACTTGCACCTCAGGGAAGCTGGGGCCACAGGTAGGTGATCTAGGGGAGCATTGAAGCTCACCTTTCCTAACACTAGCCCCAGCCTGAGTTTCAAAGGCCTCCTCTGAAGCCTGGCCACCAGCCACTGCAACCACACCACTTTCTCAAGTGAACTATAGCCTCCTGCCAAATGACTGGATGGTGGAGAGGAAGGCATTCCTCGTTTACTCCTGGGCTTGGCTTGCTACAGAAACAGCGTCACTTGGGGCTGGAGTTTGGAAAGCCAGACCAAGAATCTGACTCTAGAGAGAAATACCTCCCCCTTCCAGCAGGCTGCCGCCACCCTCAGCTGACAAGGGCATGGCCTGGGGATGGGGGATAGCTCTGCTTGAAGTGATGGAACAGAGGAATGAAGACTTCAGATTTGCTCTGATCTGTTAAACCTATTCTCATGACAAATCTGACTGATACTATTATGCTAATTTGATAGATGGTGAAATTGAGGTTCAGAGACAGACAATAACCTACTCAAAGTCACAGCAAGTCATTGGCCATGCTTGATTTTAAGCCTAGCACCTGCCCCCGACCTCCTTCTCTTGCACCGTGGGGTAAAGCAAGGGTCTGCAAACTCTGGCCTGCTTGCCAAATCTGGCCCACTGAGTGTTTTGTAAATAAAGTTTTATTGGCGCACAGCCACATCCATTTGTTAACATATTGTCTATGGCTGTGTTCACCCTACAATGGCAGAGTTGAGCAGACGCAGCAGAAACCGTAAGGCCTGGAAAGGCTGAAATATTTACTAACTGGCTCTTTAAAGAAAAAGTTTTTCATCTTTTAGAGTATAGGATGAGTTCATACTAGGAATATCTCTGTCAGTCTCTCCCTTCTCATCCAGGAGCTCTCTGGGCCCGGGACATACCAAGCTGTCCTTTCATCTCCCTTTACTCTTCTAAATGCCACAGAACAGTAGTGTCTCTGCATTCCTTAAGGGCAGAGATTGGTAAGCCCTATGGGCTAGGCTCCTTACTAGCTTTTAGCCTCTTTATAACTGTGCAGATGTAGCCCCTCCCCCCCCCATGCAGGAGTGATGCTCCACATCCTGTTCCCATGGCAACATGAGTTTGAATTGGCAATGAAGAATCGGGGTACCCCATTCCATCCCTATCCCAACCCCTGCCTCAGGGCTGCATTTTGGGGAGGGAGATGTCTCATAGTTGGTGCTTAAGGTTTTTTCAGGAAGATAAAATGTCCTGGTGGGAGTGAAATGATGGTATTGAGGGGTCTCATGTGCCCTAGAGCCTCCAACCTAACCCAGGGGAAGAATCTCTATACACCTTCTCAGAGAGGTTTAGAAACTTGCCCAGAGTCACACAGCTAGAATGAGATAAATCCAGAATTAGAACCCAGGTTTGCTCATTTCCACTTCTTTCTATTTTTTACTACATTGTTCTTTTGAATTTATGAGTTTGGAACATGTAACAACTTTCTAACATATTCCCATCTCCTCCCCAGTCCTGGGTCTGGGTTTCACCAGTCTGGGCAGTGAAAATATAATCCTCATGTAGATCTGACTTGTGCAATGGCTGTCTTGTCTTCAGCTGCATCCTAGCAGGCTGTTTTCTTTCTCCTGAGGTCTTTTCATTATGTTATCACTCCCCCAATTCTACTTGCACAGGGAAGTATTCAGAACATTTTATCTATTTATGGTTATGAAATCAACAAATCTCATGTGAAGAGGGTACACGCTGGCACCCACGCATCGAGACGGTCAGAGCCAGGTGAGTGGGCTGAGCAGGGAAGGTGAGGGACATGGGACCACGGAAGGGGCGGGAGGGGGAGAGTGTAGCCCAGGTGGGAAAAGATGAAGCTTTTCTGGACCAGGGCTGAGAGAAGAGGGCACAAGTGATGCAGTGAGGAGCGTGTCAGACCAGCCATATTCCAAGGAGGGAAGGAAAATCAATCAACTGAAAACACTCTTTGAATGCAGAGCAGGGACTCCTTACTCCTCTAAGCACCATTGGGGAGAGAGGAGTGCAGGACACTGGCCCTGCCCTCAAGGAGCTAGAGGTCTGGAGGAGGAGACAGACCCTCCACCATTCATTTTTTAGTTCAGCCCAGTTTCAGAATCCTCTCCACCACCACTCTCCAGCTGGTGAACTCCTCCTTGCCCTGCTGGTCCTCCAGTTGGGCCCAGGGCCTCTCCCCAGTGCCTCCCATGGCCCCTTGTGTTTCCTCATCTGTGAACTTCCCATCCTGCATTGTCACTGCATCTTTGTCTGTCTCCCCCACTAGCATCTATATCTGGTCCCCGTATCTTCAGCATCCAGCATAGGGCCTGGCCCAGAGCACGGCCTAAGGTATGTAATTCATTCACATGGACACAGCTGAGGGCTGAGTCTGTCCAGCTCTCTGCTAGGCACTGGCGATGCAATGGTTTGGAAACACAGGCCTGGTCTTAACCTCATGGAGCATCCAGGCTGGTGAGAAAGTGGGAACTCCATCAAGCCACTTAAGTGGGATGGCTGCTGTGAAGAAGCTATACAGGGTGTTTGAGGAGAGCAAAATGAGGGATGACAGAGCCCAGGGAGTCCTGGATGGCCTCTCAGAGGAGGTGTCATTGAGTTGAGCTGCCGGGTGTCAAGTGACTGGTTGACCGGGCTAGGCTGTGCTGGGTGGGTAGGTCGGGTAGGGTGGACAGAAGAGTGATTCATAAATGAGACTCGATACAGGGACAGGTAGCCACCAAAGATGCCGCTACGGCCTGAGGCCATATTGACGACTGATGTCCAGAGAAAAGGTGGAGGGGACAGATACCACTAAGGGTGCCGAGCCCCCACCTCGACCAGGAGGTTTGGCTCCTGTGCTACGGGCAGGGCTGAGATGAAGTGGCTTAGCCTTGAGCAGAGGGTCCATGAGGAGAAGGCGGGTGGGAGGAAGGTTGAGGCTCAGAGAGGCAGTAGAGGGCGGAGGTCAGAAGGGAAGCTCCGGAGTGAGACGCCCAGGGGGAGCTCTGGCTCCTCCACATTGGGCAACTGACTCATCTTTCGTGCCTCAGTTTATCTACCTGTTAAATAGGGATGTGAGGAGAATAAAAGCACCTACATCAAAGGATTGATGAGAAAATGAAATGAGCTAAATCCCTAAGCACTTGGAACAACGCCTGGCACACGAAAGGACCACAATCGATGCTGAGTGACGGAATGTTAGTCATCATTATTTTAACTGTATGAAAAATTTAATTTTGAACAAGTCTCTGAAGACGGCCTGGGCTGGCTCGGGAGGCAGCACACGCCCTGTCACTGTCAGTGTGGAAACACGGCCCGGGCACCCACTGGTTTTTGTAGCCTTGGCTCAGCTTGGTCTGAGAGCACCAGATGGGTGGGCCAGACTGGGGGCGGCAGCAGGTTCAAAGAGAAGGACAAAGTAGACAGCTGGGGGCCTGCAGAGGTTGAGGGATGCACACAAAGTTATTCTGAAGTCTCCGGCCTGGGTCCCAGTGCACTCCATCCCTGGGCATCAGCTGGCTCCCACGCTGCTCAGCAAATCCAGATGGAAGCCCAGTGCGCCCTTCCAGTGCTCAGCGACTAAGCTCCCTTGCCATTTTTCTAGAAGCCAACCCGCCTGTGTCCTTCCCCTGCTTAAGTCCCTCATGGTTCCTGTCACTCCTCATTACTCAAAAGTCTCCTGGCCCTCTTGACCCCTGCTACCCACAGGTGCCTAGGCCACCATAGGCTCCAGGTTCAAGCGTGTCCTTGTGATCACCTGAATACACCTGGTAACATGCGAGTTTACAGAAGCACACTTTCCCTGCCCCTTATACACCAAACATGTGCATTCACTCATTCAAACCCCAGAAACCCCATGATGTCCAGGCTGAGATTATTCCCTCTGGCCCTGGACCCAGCAGAGAGAATGGTCCATGGGATCCCAGGAGAGATTGATGGGGTTCAGGGCTGGGGTGATCACGGGAAAGCAGCAGGCCTGGGAGTGGGCCAGTCACAGGAAGGAAGCCCTAGGAGGAACCAAGAGACCCCCAAGAGCAGAGGGAACAGTGACCCCCACCCGTGGAACACCGGGGCTCAGGGAGTGGGTTCATGGCAAGAAGCGGGTAGCAGCAGTTATGGCCTACTGATGGAGCAGCTTCTGGAACCAGGAAAAGATAAGCCCTGGGTGGATGGGGATGGGACATCAGGGAGCTTTAGGAGAAAGGACAAACCAGTTGAAGGGAAAGCTCCTGAAGCACCCAGTGTAGACGTGGGATGGGCTGCAGGAGCCTTCTGTCAAGGATCTGAAGGTTCGGGAGGAACTGGAGGCGGACTCAGTCTAGATGTCAGTGGGTTATGTTTGATGCAGGGGAAAAAGTCCTGGCCAGGAGGGTCAGGAGACGTGGGTTCTGGTCCTAGCTCTGCCACCAGCCTACTGGGGTGTTATGCAAGCCCCTTCCCCTCTGGGTCTCAGTTTCCCTCTTTGCAAAATGGCAGTGGCAGTGATTTTGGACCGCTTGGCCTGGAAAGGCCCGCCAATCTCTGGCACTCAGAGCATCTCTGGGCCCATGTCCTGCCTGGCCAGTGCCTCTCAGGCTTTGGAAGTTGAATGCTGCCACCCTGAGACCCAGTTTCAGGTGAGGATGAGCCATGTGCCGGCTGCTAAGGTCTGAGTGGGCCTGAAGTCTCCCAGAGGACCAAGTCCTCTGTTCTGGAGAAGCAGAGCCACCTTGGGCCCTGGAGATCTGGTCTGTGCAGACACAGGGGAAGCAAGTACTGGTACTGACTGTGGTTTTCCTTCTTTAAACCCAACCCATCAGGGGCCTTCTCACAGGTCTGTGCTAAGTGCACTGGGAGACTCACCATTGGAGGACTCTGATGGGTTCCCAGGTGTGTAAAACAGACCCCCTCCCCCCCTACCCCCGCCCCGGGCATCCTCAGAGTAGTCTGCACAGCCTGTGGCTGAAGCAACCACTGCCTCCAGTATTCCTTAGCTTCAGTCTGGTGGGAGAAAGAAAACACCCCCAGAAGTGTCCCACATACAGCCACGGAGAGATTCCACAGTCTGGCAAAATACCCCATTTCAGAGAATCCTAGACTCACAGTTGGAACGGGTGGGGGGGCTCTCAGAGATCATCCGCCTGGAGTGACTGTGGCCTGGCGCAGAGAGTAGAGTGGCCCCAGCGACACAGCCAGCGTTTAGTGGAGGTGGACCCTGAATCAGGCCCCTGGACCACAGTGCAGTGACCTTGTGCACTTCTCAAAGGCTGGCCTCTGGGATCAAGGTGCAGAGAGAGTGGGCCAGGAGGCAGGGTTCTGAGTCCTAGTTTCAACAACGCATTGACTTGCTGTGTAACCTTGGCAAATAATGTCTCTTGGGGGGAAGCCTCAGTTTCCCCTCCTGTGCATTGAAGTCTTGGCCCTGGCAATGGATGCCCCTGGGAAAAGCCGTTCACAGCTCTAGGACTAACTGCTCCAGAGCACGAACCTCTCTCCTTTGCCAGACTTGGTGCCCACAGCTGGGCTGGATCGGATCCACCTCTTGTCCCCAGCCCTGATCTAGAGCAGGGGTCCAGAGATGTCTGGAACCTACGCAGCTCCTTGGGCATGGTCAAGTACTTCACGGCTGTCCTCAGTGCACCTTGGTCAAACACCCCTGAAAATGCTGCATGGGGAGTGCTGGCGCCATCAGGATTGGGCAGGGGAGTCCAAAGCGCTGGGTCCACATGGCTCTGGGGAGCCCTGCCAGAGCCTGCAGCCAAACCTCCACCCAGAAGGACTGGCGTTTGTAAGCAGTCTGGAAAAGGTTTGGTTCCAGAAAGTTCCAGAGAGCTGGTGGGCTGCAGGAAGCCTTCGATGGAAGCAGACGTCTGCAAGCAGCAACCTGGTTGGTTGGTTGTGGAGTCTGGGATCCAGAAGGTTGTCCAGAGTGATCGTCAATCCAGGAGAGCCCACCCAGGTCTGGACTCCGCTGGGGACGAAGCAGCAGCTGGTGCCACGGTGGGAAGAGGAGCTGTCTGTTCCCTCTCCCGGGTGCAAGTCAGGGACCACGGCCTGCCACGCTGTGCCAGCTATTCTCAACGTTAAGGAACAAGGGACTGACCTCTGGCTAGGAAGTCAGCATCCTTGGGCTCTGGCCCACGCTCTCCAGGAACATGTCATGTGACCCTGGTCAAGTCACTACTCTTCTCTGGGCCTCAGTTTTCCTTTCAGTTTAGCGAGAGGGTTGGAGAAACTGCTAAGGAGCCTTCCAACTAAGATCCTAACCTGACCTCAGGCTGAGCCCACCCAGAAAAAGGCTAAGGTAGGAGGTTGGAGGCGGTGCGGGTCTCCAGAGACCCAGGGTGGCCCCGCGGGCAGTGAAGTCCTCACCTGCTGTTTTCGCCCTGTGGCCTTGTCCAGGGAGGGTCAAACGTGCTAGGCCTGGCATCTTGTTCCCTTCCAAGGTTCCTATGGCAGAAGAGTCTCCCCTGTCGGGGCGGGGGGTCGGGGGAGGGACAAGGGCAAACCTCCTTTCTCCATGGTTGAAATTTCCCCAAAGTGGGTGGAGGGCGCTAAGATAGGGGGTCCTAGGGTGCGGCGACGGGGCCTCCCGGGTCCAGGCCACGTATGGGGCTCGCGGCCCGGGGGCGGGGGCAGCTCCCGGGCTCTGGCGGAGCCGCCACTCCGCCGGTTGCCTTTAAAAGGCGCCAGCGCGCGCGCATCAGCAGAAGGGCTGCGGCTCTCTTCCAAAATAGGCAAGAACTGGGAGGCCGCGGGAGACGCGCTGCGAGCAGTGCAGACGTCACCCGGGGCCTCCCCACCCCGACCCCCCCTCCCAGCCTGCATCAGATCTCCATGGCAACGGCGTGCCGCGGCCGCTGATGAATGAGCTACAGCAAGAAGAGGAGGAGCGCGCAGAGATGTGCGTTCTCTCTTTCAGGCGTCCGGGCCCCGAGGCCGCCCAGAGGAAGGGAATGCAGACCCAGAGCTCGGAGGAAGGGGGCGCCCTCATATTCAAAAAGCCTCCAAGACCCATTCATTCCCAGCTGATCCTACCGTATCCCAAGAACGCAGAAGCTACGCTCTCCAGGGATCCCCGACCCTTTGGTTTAGGGCTCCTCAGCTCCCAGGGTTCCCCTTACCCCGTCTCCCCTCTCGCTCGGTCAGCTTTCTCCGCTCCCCAAACTCTGCGGAAAATCAGACATCATGTGGCCCAGCGCCGCCGCGTGGCCGATGATGGCGCTGCGTCAGGCGTGCTTGTGGCTGGGATCCCGCCGTCTATGTCGCCCTCTGGCGATTGCGAGAAGGAAGAGCATAAAAAATCTCAGTCTTCACATTAGGACCCTAATTAACAAGGGCATCATTATAACCAGTAGTTAACGTTTAATGAGTGCTCCCGATGTGTCGGACCCTGCTAAGCGCTTTCCTCATATCACTTCATTTCATTCTCACAGCAACCCTGCAATGAAGATTATTATTATTGTTGTTGTTATTATTATTATTGCTACCATTTTGCAGATGAGAAAAACAGGCAGAGAGAAGTTGCAGCTTGCCTGTAACTGTAAGGGGGAGAACTGCCACCTGAACTCGTGACTGCGTGAAAAGCACTTGTCACCCCCTCACTTCCAAAACCCATGGTGTTTTTTGATCCATTTCATAGTCTCTTGAGATAAGTAGGATGGCACCCATTAAAATTATTCCCATTTTACAGATAAGGAAACTGAGACTCAGAGAAGTGAAATGTTTCACCAGAAGTTTCAGCAGCCATGGATAGAGCCCAGGTCTCTAGGCCCCTGGTCTAGGGACTTTTAGCATGAGGTGGCTGGGTAACGAGGAGTCCAGCACACCCTTCTAAGACCTTACCCCCTAGTAAGAGGGACTGCGGAGCCAGCTCATCCAGGGCCAGTCGTCCATTAGCAAATGGAGCAGCCCGAGGTCAAGAGAGGAGCAGGGACTCTCCCCCGTCTTCAGGGTTCACAGGAGCCAGACGCTCTCGTTTCTCTCCATATGTATGGCATATGCTGTGCTTCCCATTTTGGCGGTGTTGCCTTCTACTGTGGTCATCCTGCTTATGCTGGACCCCTCACACTTATATACTATTGGGGTGAGACAACACTTCCTGGTTTCAGCTTGCTGCTCTTACGTTGACCTGCCCTATTTTCCACTGAGTAATTCTTCTCTGGTCTGTTGCTTTCCTGTTTCCCTGCAGAGATGCTGACTCCATGCAAGGCTCTGGGGGGCTGTTGGAAGTTTGTTCTTACTGGCTTGTATTTTGGGGCTCATGGGTGTGCCCTGTCATCTAGTTTTGTTGTAAACTTTGACCATGTGATCTGGTTTTGTTCTCTAGTTGCTCTGTCTTTAAGTGGAGATTCGTGGAGATTCAAACCTGTGCCTCTGCCTCTGCTGCTGTCTTCCACATTATTCTTAGCCAAACACGTTGGGGATGCCAAGAGTTTGAGGGTAAACCATTAAAAGAAATCCAAGGGTGTGGTGGTCACAATTTCTAAACCTCCAGTTAAAGGTACTGCTGCCAGCGTGGTTTAGGTTTTTCAGGAATTTACAATGAACCATCAGCTACAAGGCGTGTTGTCCTCATGTGGGTGACAGTAACTCTACTTACCAGATCCTGGACTTCCAAGCCCTGTTGATTGGCCATCTTGTCCCATTCAAGGGCACCAGCTCATTCAACATCTTTCCTTCATTCTGGATGGCTCTGCTGTTTTTCCATGAGCTCATTAAGAGGATTTGCTGACATTATGGCAATCCTGAAAGGGCTGGAGAAATCCTCCAGAAGTGACCTTTATCTAGACTTCCTTAGATGTGTCCCCAAGCACCTTCTCCTAAATGCTTCTTACAGTTTCCTCCAGTTGCTGACTAATATTGGGGTGTCCCCTCTTTCTGACCCCAAAGTTTCTCTTACAAGATGTGTTTACAGTTGCCCACATAGACGCTCTCTGCCTCCTGACATGAATGTTCTCTGGACCAGCCAACAGCTCCAGGAAGTCTAAAGGTGTGGGACAGTTTGGGATCAGTTGGTAAATTCTCTATCCACTAACCATTCCACCATTGGGTTATAATTGTCCGTATGTAATTTCCCACCCATCCCACATCTTTCCCCGATTGGCTCCCAGGTGTGTGTCCCCTACCCAAGGTTTTAGCGTCACAGCAGTGGGGGATGGGCACAGGGATGTGAACTCTCAGCTGTGGTTTCCGTGGCTGTTCAGTTCTGATTTCCACCAGGCAGGGCCAAGAACTGTCTTATGAGCATCTTCAATTGGAGCGATATCCAGTAAATTCTTATAAACCAAACATACTCCTTGTGGTGCAGGTAGGTCACTCACTAAAGATAAATTTTTCCACAGTAGTCCTGCAGTCAGTGGGGCCAATCTTTGTGGCATTGCACGCATTCAGATTTGTTTAATCCTTGAGGTTACGTACCAGTTAGTTATTGCTTTACAACACACAACCCCAAAACAGAGTAGTTTAAAACACTACACATTTACTATTGTACACAAGTCTATGGATAAGCTGGACAGCTCTTCTGGTTTGGGATGTGTTCAGTTAGTGCTTTGTGGTCAGCTGTGAGTTGGACAGGTAACTCTTCTGATCTTGACTGGGATCTCTCACATGTTTGAGGATCAGCTGGCTGTAGACTGGTCTAGCATAGTCTCAAAAGGGACAGTTGGACTCTCTTCCATGTGGTCTCTCATCCTCCAGCAGCCTAGCCTGGGCTTGTCCATGTGGAGGTGGTAGGGTTCCTAGAGAGAGGTGGCATACAAGGCCTTTTGAGTCCAAGGTATGGGATAGTGCCATGTTCTATTTGGCCAAGGCAGCCACAAGTTCAACCCAGTGTCAGAGTGGGAGGAGACTACAAAGTTACAGGGCAAATGGTATGGATACAGAGAGGCCAATAATTGGGGCCATGAGTGCAATTAGCCTACCAGAGGCCCCATGAGTTTCCGTATGACAGCCGAGTATGTTGACAGTGAATTATGCCTGCTCAAACCTTGATTTATAATAGTATCATTATTCTATATCACATTCCTAGCATTGATGTTTACCAATGTATTTTAAACATGTTCTGAATTTTTATTATTAGGTTTCACAGACATCACCCATAAATAGAAATTTTTGAATCCATAGAACTTTATTCATTAGTAGCTAGAATGCAACTCCAGGCAGCTTGCCATCATCCATGTATCATGCATTCAGCTGCAAGTAAAAGAAAGCCAACTCAAGTAGCTTAAAAATAATTAAATATATTATCTCACAAATGGGGAAATCCAGAAAGGGTTTAGAGTTCCGAGGATCTCAAGGATCCAGGATCATCCCATCTCTCTGTTCTGTTGGGCTCAGTGTGAGATTCATCCTTTGAATGGGAGAAGTTGACTTCAGTGGTTCCAAGCATTGTATCTGGATAGAACAAGATCCAGAGGAGAAAGAGAGAGCAGATCTTTCTATTCCTGGATCTCTTTCTAAGAAGGGAGGGAAGTTTTCCCCAAGAATCTCTGGTACTAAATATTTTCCATTTCCACCTCCAGATGCACTCGACAATTCTCCAGCTTGCTCCATACCCTGGGAGGGTGATCTCTACGATGGCATCAATGGGCTTCTTTGCTCATTTTTTGCCAGGTGATGTGGCCAACAGGAGTCATTGGCAAGAGAATAGAAGGCAGGAGGAGAGTGAGATTGGGGTATTTAAACCTCCCGGCTCTATCTCTGCTGGGTTGCCATGGATTGGTGGTGTTTCTTTACCAAAAATTGGAGCCCTTGTCAGGCACCTCTCTCCACGCAGCCCCCTCTCTAGGTTCAGGCTGAGGGGTGCCGATGGCCCTCTGCTATGGCTAGACTGACCCTTGTTTCTCTAAACCCACATCTTTGTAGATAATCCTGTTTTCCCAGTTTGAGTGTGCCATCTGCTTCTGTCCCAGGGCATGACAGATACCCTCCCCTACAGATCTTTCCCAATGGCTCATTGGCTGGAATTAAGATAGCTATTACTGAACCAAAACATAATAAGAGAGAACAACGTAAAATGATTATAGAGAAGATGATAGAGACGGAAGATTCATAAATTAAATCCAACATAAGATAATTGGTATTCCCAATGAAGAGATCAGGAAAAAAATGCAACAGGAAAAATATTAAAAGATACAGAATCACACTTTTCTGAAATAAGAAATGGCCTTTATTTACATATAAAGAACTCTTACATTGCAGACGTATGCATGTCCCGGGGGAGGGGCGCAATCACGTAAAAGGATAGAGTGAAGCTGCATCCTTAGATTTCATGGCTACAGAAAGATCCCCATTGGCATTCAAGAAAAGAAAAACTTGTCGTATACAAGTAAGAAAATATCATTCATTCATTCAACAAACATTTATGCTAGATCCTGCTCAAGACACTTGAGATGCATCAACGTACACAGGGATAAAGTTCTCTCCCCTCATGAGGCTTACAGTCTGGTGGAGACAGACAGATCAAATGACAGACATAATATATAAGAAAATTAGAAGATGTTAAATTTATAAAAAAAGAAAATTGTAGAGCAGGGGTGTGGGCTTGGTAAATCTGGGGTTGGAATTTTAAATAGAGTAGAGAAGACTTGTTGACAAGTTAGGAGCTGTAATGGTGGGCCACTTTATACGGTGGCAACAAGTAATCTCCAATTCTTTTGTTTTAATTGAAGTACAATTGACATACAAAATTATATCAGCTTCAAGTCTACAACATAATTAATCCCTAATTCTTCATTGCTTTTAACAACAAAGGAGAGATGTCAAGGAGGAAGTTAACTAAATGGA